TTCCGTCATGGTTTTATTTTCTTTTGACCTAGTTTGAAATGCATCAGACCACGCTGCCAGATCAGGAAAGCTGTGCTCAGATCCCTGCTGGCTGTGTGTCACGTTTTTGAAGTCATGAAATATTTTTTTATTAAATTTTCTATTGAACGTTTACTTCCCATGGGCTCACCACTCGTGGGAGGGGCCAAAGGGGTCGGGTGCAGTGTGTGACGGGTGGTGGTCGAGGGCGGGGACCTTGGCGGTCTGATCCTCGGCTACAGAAGCTGGCTCCTGGCACATGGAATGTCACCTCTCTGGTGGGGAAGGAGCCTGAGTTGGTGTGTGAGGTTGAGAGGTTCCGACTAGATATAGTTGGACTCACCTCAACGCATGGCTCTGGCTCCGGAACCAGTTTCCTTGAGAGGGATTGGACTTTCTACCACTCTGGATTTGCTCCCACTGAGAGGTGCCGAGCAGGGGTGGGCATACTAGTTGCCCCCATCTTGGTGCCTGTACGTTGGGGTTTACCCCGGTGAATGAGAGGGTAGCCTCCCTCCACCTACATGTGGGGGGACGGGTTCTGACTGTGGTCTGTGCTTATGCACCAAACTACAGTTCAGACTAGTGATGGGAATTCCGGCTCTTTTCAGAGAGCCGGTTCTTTTGGCTCAGCTCACCAAAAAGAGCCGGCTCTTTCGGCTCCCAGGTGGCTCCTCAGATTTTCTGTTGCGTAGAGTACATTTATAACCAAAATAATGCAAAACTATATGTAAAATGATTTACTAATGTAAAAAAATGCTATATCAAATATTTATCATTTCTATGGATTTAATAACTGAACGCTTTCAGAAATCTCCACGTTCCGACTGCTGGCGCTCATTTTCTCACCGTCTTCGTCACACTCTCCTCTCTCTCTCTCGCCTTTTTCCTCTTCCTCATTCCCTCTCGCCTCCCTCCGCCCGCATGTGCTCTGCTGTGTGTCTGAGTCTTATCCTCCCTCTTCCCCACCCCTACTGCTCTGTGTGTGGACAGTCTGGACACGCAGTTACACATGCTGACCAATCGCCTGTGGCTTTCACCAAAGCAAAGGGGGAGGGGGGAGGGGAGGGGACAGCTCCCAATGACGGGCCGGCTCCCGTTGTTCACTTCAAAGAGCCGGCTCTTAGAGCCGGTTCGTTCGTGACCGACACATCACTAGTTCAGACTACCCACCCTTTTTGGAGACCATGGAGGGGGTGCTGGAGAGCGCTCCTTCCGGTGACTCCCTCGTTCTGCTGGGGGACTTTAACGCTTACGGGGGCAACGAGAGTGAGACCTGGAGAGGTGTGATTGGGAGGAACGGCCCCCTGATCTGAATCTGAGTGGTGTTTAGTTATTGGACTTCTGTGCCAGTCATGGATAGTCCATAATGAACACCATGTTCAGACAAAGGTGTTAATATGTGCTCTTGGCACCGGGATACCTTAGGCCGCAGCTCGATGATCGACTTTGTTGTTGTTTCATCTGACCTGCGGCCGCATGTCTTGGACACTCGAGTGAAGAGAGGGGCGGAGCTGTCAACTGACCACTATGTAACCCATGTGATTGATGCTTCAGGGTTTGGTTTTCTCTGCCAGTCTTCAGTGCTTGCTAAAACCTTCAACTGAGCTTACCTGAGGGTGCAGTTGATTCACTGTTCTGAGAGGAAGAAACTGAACCGTACCATTTAAAAAGGGTAGCACTTTGCCAAAGTTACAGGAGTGTTGGTAAGCTGCACTTTCATTTTCCTCAGTTACCGATGGAGCCACTTGTTTTTAATGTTATACTTACCGTCATAGATCCTCCCTTTTTGCCTAACCGAGGCCAAAGTTTGTGTATGTGTTTCTACTCATCGGTGAGTAAACATATTCATTGATCTACACTGATTAGCTGCATGATCCAGTGTTGCTTGGAATATTTTTAGTGTCTTGAGATGTTGAACAGAATGTGGTTTATTGTTTTCACATAATTCCTGTCCAAAGATATTTGACCCAAGCACTTGTTTCCTGTGTGGGGAAGCTCAGCTGAGCAATAAATCAAACTGAGTGAAACAAACATGGTTACGTAATTAAGAGAAATGTGAATGTGGACCTCCTGGAAATTCTGTGGAGAACCTGAATGATTTGTGATGTTTTGTATATATGTAAATAGCAGAATTAATCATTTCCCTTTCTGGCTTTTGTTTTAGGTCAGGTTTTTGTGTGGATTTCTTTTCCTTTTCCCTTTACATTCAGTTCATCCCATTCACCGTCTTGAATTTTCCTTGGATGGCGAGCCACCCATGAACCAATTGAACTGTGGAACCCTGGATTGATGTCACAAGGAAACGAGCCCTTGTTCATGCAGATGAAGTCTGAAACTCTTCAAGGAACTGATGGACGGTCTATTGGTTATGTTTTTTGTAAATATATCACTGCTTATTTGATGTAAACCGTTTCACCTTGTGAATATTCAAAATACACTTTGAACGAAAACCCCTCTAATCAGTTGACTTTTTGACCATACTGTTTATTGACTCCTTTGTTGAACTTAGTTTTGGTTACCAATTATTCCATCTACTGGTTACAAGTCAGATTAGCGCACAGCTTTTGTCAAGGGGTTACAACTACCTGGTGGTGAGTTGGCTCAGATGGTGGGGGAGGATGCCGGTCAGACCAGGCAGGCCCAAACATATCACGAGGGTCTGCTGGGAACGTCTGGCAGAGTCTCCTGTCAGAAGGAGCTTCAATTCCCATCTCCGACAGAACTTCCAAAATGTTCCGGGGGAGGCAGGGGACATTGAGTCTGAATAGATCCTGTTCCGTGCCTCCATTGTTGAGGCGGCCGACCGGAGCTGTGGTCGCAGGATCGTCGGTGCCTGTCGTGGTGGCAACCCCCGAACCCGCTGGTGGACACCGGCGGTTGGGGATGCTGTCAAGCTGAAGAAAGAGTCCTATCAGGCCTTTTTGGCCTGTGGGACTCCAGAGGCAGCTGACGGGTACAGACGGTCCAAGCGGAACGCGGCTCGGGTGGTCGCCAAGGCAAATACCCGGGCATGGGAGGAGTTCGGAGAGACCATGGAGCAAGACTTACGTACGGCTTCGAGAAGATTCTGGTCCACCATCCAGCGCCTCAGGGGGGAAAGTAGTGCCCTACCAACACTGGGGACGGTGTGCTGCTGACCTCTAACCAGGACGTTGTGGATCGGTGGGCCGAATACTTTAAAGACCTCCTCAATCCCACCGACACGTCTTCCAGTGAGGAAGCAGTCTGGAGACTTTGGGTTGGCATCTCAAATCTCTGGTGCTGAGGTCACTGAGGTGGTTAAAAAGCTCCTCTGTGGCAAGGCTCCGGGGGTGGATGAGATCCGCCCAGAGTTCCTTAAGGCTCTGGATGTTGTGGGGCTGTGTTGGCTGACGCGGCTCTGCAATATTGCGTGGACATCAGGGGCAGTCCCACTAGACTGGCAGACCGGGGTGGTGGTCCCCTTATTTAAAAAGGGGGACCGCACGGTGTGTTCAAACTACAGGGGGATCACACTCCTGAGCCTACCTGGTAAGGTCTATTCAGGGGTTCTGGAGAGGAGGGTCCGTCGGATTGCTGAACCTCAGATTCAGGAGGAGCAATGTGGTTTTTGTCCTGGCCGTGGAACACTGGACCAGCTCTATACCCCTTAGGGGGATCCTGGAGGGTGCGTGGGAATTTGCCCAACCAGTCTACATGTGTTTTGTGGATTTGGAGAAGGCGTTTGACCGCGTCCCTCGGGGAGCCCTGTGGGGGGTACTCCGGGAGTATAGGGTACCAAGCCCTCTGATACAGGGTGTTAGGACCCTGTATGACCGGTGTCAGAGCTTGATCCGCATTGCTGGCAGTACGTCGGGCTCGTTCCCAGTGAGAGTTGGACTCCGCCAAGGCTGCCCTTTGTCACTGATTCTGTTTATAGCCTTTATGGATAGGATTTCTAGGCGCAGCCAAGGTGTGGAGGGCATCCGTTTTGGTGGCCTGAGGATCAGGTCTCTGCTTTTTGCAGATGATGTGGTCCTGTTGGCTTCATCAGAACGTGATCTTCAGCTTTCGCTGGAGCGGTTCGCAGCCGAGTGTGAAGCAGCTGGGATGAGAATCAGCTCCTAAATCTGAGACCATGGTCTTGATTCCGAAAGCGTAGAATGCCTTCTCTGGGTCAGGGATGAGGTCCTGCCCCAAGTGGAGGAGTTTAAGTATCTCGGGGTCTTGTTCACGAGTGAGGGAAAACTGGAGCGTGAGATTGATAGGCGGATTGGTGCTGCATCTGCAGTGATGTGGGCATTGTACCGATCTGTCGTGGTGAAGAGAGAGCTGAGTCAGAAGGTGGAGCTCTCGATTTACCAGTCGATCTACGTTCCTACCCTCACCTATGGTCATGAGCTTTGGGTAGTGACCGAAAGAATGAGATTGCTGATACAAGCTGCCGAAATGAGTTTTCTCCGAAGAGTGGCTGGGCTCTCCCTCAGAGATAGGGTGAGAAGCTCTGTCATCTGGGAGGGGCTCGGAGTAGATCCACTGCTCCTCCACATCGAGAGGAGCCAGTTGTGGTGGCTCGGGCTTCTGGTCAGGATGCCTCCCTGGTGAGGTTTTCCGGGCACATCCAACCGGGAGGAGACCTAAAGGAAGACCCAGGACACAGTGGAGGGAATATGTCTCTCACCTGGCAAACGCCTTGGGATTCCCCCGGAGGAGCTGGCCCAAGTGGCTGGGGAGAGGGAAGTGTGGGCCTCTCGACTTAGGATGATGCCCCCGCGACCCGACTCCGGATAAGCGGGTGAAAATGGATGGATGGATTGAATTTTTATCTTTGATTCTTCTCTCCGTTTACTCTTGAGGACATCATCAGACTTGGTAACATTTGAGATCAGACTGTTATTTTATCAGGAATATTTTATGATCGGCGTCTTTACAAATCTATGCTGACTCTCCTGAAACTTCCCCGACCTTCATGCAGCGGTCACCAGTAAAACGATCCCTTCTCTGCATAAAAGGAAAAAACCTTCTGGATTTAGTCTTTTATTGACATTATAATTTATTCTGAACAATCAGTCCCTGACGAAAGCAGCGGCTCCTCTTCTTACCCCAGATTAACAACTCAACTGAATTATTACATTACTGTGTGTGTGTGTGTGTGTTGTATACATGTTCAGCACTATGAAATAACAGCTCCCTTTAGGAGGTCAACATAAACCACAGACCTATGATCCTACAAGCAGGATGACTGGAAGAACTTCAGGTATGAAGCAAGGAAACACACACACACACACACACACACACACACACACACACACACACACACACACACACACACACACACACACACACACACACACTTCAGCCTTCTTCTCCAACAGAAATGCATTTTTGACATGAATGAACATCCAGAGCCGACGCACGGTGAATAATACCCGTCGCTGTTTGCAAAGGAAATGTTTCCAATAAAAAAAGTTTCATATGTACTGCTCAGTAAAAATGACTCCAGACATCCACAACAGTCTGAAAACATCCTTATCTTAAATGTGCAAATGAGTCACGCTCTCCTCCGAGCTTCTAAAGTCATAAAATAAAAACCATCCGTTCGTTCCAGCCAGCTCACTGGTCCAGAGCCGCGTTCACTCAGACTTTCTGCTGATTCGTCACTTCTCGTAGGAAAGTTTCAGTCGTGTCTGCAGCATATGGACTTTATGATGCATCTCCTGCTGGTGGACACTGATGATGATGCAATACACCATGGCCGTCCTCCACCTCTCCTCACCGATGTCGTCACACACAGGAGAACAGGCCGAAGTGGAAGATTAAAGAGAAACTAGCTGATCTCTGCAGGTCTGGCTTGTTCCCTTTCAAACACACACACACACGTGCACGCACACACACACACATACACACACACACACACTCTCATTTCCTCACCTCTATTGCACATTCTGTGTCACAAATGAAAACTGATCTATTGCGATGAGATTCGGTGGTTTCGTTTTTAGGCACATTAGAACATTCAGTCACAGCTGGAGGACATACGAAAGCCCCAACCTGGATTCATTTCCTGGTACAGAGATAAAGGGTCACTTGGGGTCGTTGCCACAGTGTTGATCGTTTCATTCTCAAAAATCAGAAATGGGCCGGAGCACGAAACTCAAGGTTTTGGATTTGGTTAGCTTTGATGTCATTTTCCACTTTTGGCACATTTAAACAAATGGAACGAGAATAAAATGGGCCAGGATTTCATCCTCATCAAGAACACGGTGCACCAGATTGGGGCTTTAATATAATCACTGATATTGCACAGACAGTACGAAGAGTAACAGAGTAAATGAGAGGAAGGAAGGCAGGGACAACAGCTGTGTGGCTAAATATGCATTCCCTCTATGTTCCGGTCTCTTCCTGACCGAGGCGCTCCTGTGGCGCCGAGTAGGAACAGTCGGGTCGTGCGTGTCTCCGTACGACCGCCTCCAGAGCGTGTAACGTCTGTGGGACGCGTACGGCCTTCTGAACCACCCACTCAGTCTCTTTGTCCCTTTCCTCTTTGTGTTCTGTGTCGTGCACAGTTTGTGGTATGAGCGTGCACGGCGGGCCACCGGGGTCTTTCATGGCCATGCTGGCCCCCACCATGGCCGGATAGCTCCGGTTCCTCCTCAGTCCTGCATTTAGACCTGGAAGCCCTCCGCCCAGCACGCTGCTCCCCAGGCCGGAGGAGCCGAAGGGGGCCAACAGAGCGCTGCTGGAGGAGGCCGAGGCCGAAAGAGGGGAGAGTGTTCGGAAACGCTTCAGCTTGTCCACAAGTCCGAGGTTTGTCACCTCGCTTTGGCTGTCCTCGTCCTCCTGGATGCCGCGCTCTCTCTCCAAATCACCCAACACCTCCCTCAGAATGATGCGAGCCGGCTTAGAGGCGAGGAAGGCGTCATAATACGGCGGGTCGTCTTTGAGAGGGCTGAATTGAAACTCAGGGCTAGCTGCAGCAAAGGAAGCAGATCTGGAGCGAGGTGAGCTGGGTGGAGTGGAAGGCTGCAGGAGGAGGGTGTCAGGTCGCTTCATCGACTTCCTGATTTCACCCTCCACAGATCTCATGCTGCACACCTGCGCCGGGACTCCTCCCAGGACGGCTGAAGCCCCACCAGCATCCAGCGCTCGGTCCCAGCTGCACGGGTTGTACACCGAGGCAGAGATCCCCCGCTCCAGCAGGAGGCGCACTAGGCCTAGAGAGGTGCTGGTGGTCTTGGTGGAGTCCCTAAGGTTGGTGGAGGACTGGGAAAGGGAGAGGCGGCGTGGGGTGCAGCAGGGGGTGTACGAGGGTGTAGGAGGAGCTGAGAAGGGTACAGGAGAGGGAGAGTGGGAGGGCGTGTTGAAGTTAGTGCTGCTCGGAGACGAGGCCACAGCCGGGCTGGAGAAGAGAGGACAGAAGGAGGAGACAAGAGGAGGACAGGAAGAAGAAAGTGTGATTGGGTGTGTATGAAGAATCAGAGCAGTAGGCGTGCAGAAACAGGAAGTGATTATTCAACATTACATCAGACCATGCAGGAGGCCAAATGTTTGCTTTAGTAACAAACGGTGAGTAAAGAAATCCTACAGACCCCAAAATGCACCGGGTCAGCAGTCACCCCCCGCTGCTGTTTCATCCGTCGCTAAAGAGCCAGGCATGAAAACAGCCGGTAAGACCCCGCCCCAACGGGAGGGGGTCTGAGGTTAATCCTGCAGCTACAACAGCAGCACCACCATGCTCTCTCACCCTTCACACCTGTAGCTGAACTCAGTGGGTCTGCTCTACTTCAGCCATGACAACCATGTGATACAGTTCCTCCTCCTCATCACATGACCTGTCGACCCAATCGGGGGCAGAGAGGGCCGTGAGAACGCTACTTTGTGGTCGTCTGCTGTGGTTTCAAGTCGCTACTCTAAATAATTCACGAAGAAAAGAAAGCAGCTGAAGAGAGAGACAGAACTGGTGAGAGGAGTTACCTGGGTGAGACAGAGGTCAGCTGATCAGACGGGTGGAGGATCCTGCAGGTGGTGAAGGTGTAAGTGGAGCTGGTGTGAGACGAGGACTTCCCTGGGAAATATACTGGGGGGGGGGGCAAAAGGAGATGCTGTTAGTATTAAAAACACATTTAAAGTCTCTACACACACCAAAGTAGGAAAGACACAGAATGCAGCCATAGTTTATGCTCCACCCCCCAGTGTGTGTGTGTGTGTGTGTGTGTGGGGGGGGGGGGTCTCTCTCAGCATGCAGCGACACACGTCACACACCCATGTGACCTGAACAGCTGCCCTAACAGCTGATGCAGACATGATCCTAAACGGGACCATGGTCAGGATGTTCCTGCTGTGACATCACAGCGACACTAACGTCTGAGCCTCATCCTAACTCACACGTTTGAGTTTGAAAGAGGAGAAAAGTGGCTAAATGTGAGGAAAAGAAGGTCATTTAAGGAGGAACTGAGAAATAAAAGTTAAATAAATAAAAGTACTCTTGTCTCGGTGGAGCTCGATGGCTGCAGTGACTGCTCCTGAGGTGGGTGGGTGCACATGCGTGTGGCCATGCAGGTAAAGGGGACACATTATGGTGGTGAAATGTCCAGTTAAACCCCACTGATTCCTCACCCCCCCACACCCTTCTTCTCCATGATCCCGTTTTCTCCCCCGAGCTCCAGACTAAAGTGAAGATTGGATGGTGGACGCGGCGCTGCGCCTCCTGCTAGGAGGCTCCCTCACCAGGCATGTGGTCCAGAGAGGTTGGCTGCAGGCCGGGGAGCTCCTTGAGGTCCATGTGCCTGTTGCTCTCTGAAGAGGGGGAGGCGAGAGGCAAAGGAGAGGAGCTGGAAACGGGAGGGGGCATGTTTCCTTCAACTACACCACAAATTTCCCCGAGTTCTTCGAAGCGGCTGCTGCTGTCGGTGCAAAGTGTTCTGTTACAGCAGACAGAGGTAGAGCGGAGCGGGCTGGGTGGAGCCGAGCCGGTAAAGGAGTCACATGACACTTCATCCTCCTCTGGTTGGTCCAGATCCCAGCTGACTTCCTGTTCCTGCTCGTGTGCTAAAGTGCAGAAGCCCTTGGTGACCACGCCGGGCCGGCGATCCATCAGAGCGCCCATGTGGGGTTGAGCCAGCTGCTGCCAGGCGTGGAGAGTAGCAGAGCCTACCGAGGACAAATAAAACCCTTTTAATAAAAATAATAATAATGTGTGTGTGTGTGAGAGAGAGAGAGAGAGAGAGAGAGAGAGAGAGAGAGAGAGAGAGAGAGAGAGAGAGAGAGAGAGAGAGAGAGAGAGAATGTATAAGAAATGAAAACATGTTTATGGAAAGGTGCGTCAACGCAGCGCTTGGGTGGAAAAAGGAGATGATTTTAGCTTTATGACTTTTTAAAAGAGACTTTAAATCAGAACAATTAGAGATTTTAAGTCTGCCTTCAGTTCAGGACAGAGATGACAGGAATCTAACCAGCAACCAGATCAGATAGTTTCCAGCTAAATGAACTTTCCCTACTTAGTGATCCGGTGTTTTTCCTTGTGATGAGTCAGAACCAGAACACGAAACAAGGATGAGATAAAAGGAAGGTGAGGAAATTAGCTGAATTTTATTCAGATCAGCAACAGAGACACAAACGCTGAACAGAACAGGAGGCGTGTGAAGAAAAGTGGCAGAAAGTAAAGATTCGGAGGAAAAGGACTAAAACATAGAAACATGCTTCTGCTCTCTCACTGGTTACACCTTCATGGCTTTTTCAGTCGTCCTATTTTATTCCTTTCGTATAAATGTTTAGATAGGACTGCCGCTGCAGGAGCTGCGGTTTGCAGCACTGCTGCCTAACGGGGAGAAGGTTGCAGGTTTGAATCCCAGCTGCATGGAGTCAGCCTGTTTTCTGCTCCGGTTTTCTCCCACAGATCAAAAACAAAACCGTCCCTAGGTGTGAGTGAGTGTCCCTGTGATGGACGGGACACTTGTCCAGGGTGTTCCACTGGAGTGGGCCTGCCTTGTTCACGCACACACACACACACACACACACACACACACACACACACACACACACACACACACACACACACACACACACACACACACACACACACACACACACACACACACACACACACACACACACACACACACACACACACACACACACACACACACACACACACACACACACACACACACACACACACACACACACACACACAGCTAAGATCATGTTTAGACACAATAAGTGGGTGTAATTCGGATGTTGACCACTAGGCGGAGACACAAACCTGTTTGACATCAAGTGGATGAGATAAAAATAAATGTACCAACACATCTACAGCAGCTGTTGGAAACTTAAATCACACCTAAGCGTAGAGCTTCACAACATCCCAGCACCTTCCATCAGTCATGTGACAAAAAGTGGATCAAAGCACAAACACATTCAGGTTTAACTTGCTGACATCGTGTGGATCATTTGCGTGGACGTATTCATGGTTGCTCTTCTCTGTCAGACATGTTTAGACACATGTTCATGTTACGGTTCGTAACCGGGCAGCAGCCTACGCTTCCACGCAGCGAGGCGGAGTGTGTCTGAAATAGAAGGAGTGCTGCAGAACGGAACTTCCTTCCTGTTGCTCCAGCAGCTTCCGCAGAACCCCGCCCAGAGCCCGCGCTGCTCTGATGGGAGGCTGCACACCCGACGGGCTGCTGTCGGAGCGCCGCAGCAGACCGTTAACTTCCACCACGGTTCTGAGAACGACTCTGGAGCGACCCCGGTTCTGGAATACTAGATACTGATTCTGCTGCTGGTGACTCTCAGAGGAAATGTGGGAGGCAGATTTCTCCTTCAGCCTGTGGTTCTGAAGGTCATTTAGTTGAGATAAAGTTGTTTTGTTGCTCTTAACAGAATAATCACCTTCTAGCGGCTTTACAATCTGCAGCTTCTCTGGCAGGTAGGAGCGAGCTGTGATGGAGAATCCCGACCAGACGCTTCCAAAGGACGGATGAGAGCAGAACGACAGAAGACTCTCTGTGGGTGTCCCCGCGCCTCTGCTGCCCTCCCCCCCTTCTTTCTCCTCCTCTTTAGCGAGGAAAGCCAGCTTCCTCTCCCTCTCTTCCTCAAAAAAGCGTTTTTCAGAGAGGTAGTTGTCGCGGCGGAGGGACAGACGACGCAGAGCCGCCTCCAGGTCTCTGCTGCCCGGGGTCCCTGGAGTCCCAGGGGGGCGCTTGTTAGAGTCCTCTGGCCTGAAGAGAGAGACGTGAATTAGCACATCAGGAGGGAGTCATCTCTGCTAAGGAACCTGACAGGTCTGAGTTCCCGTACCCGTCATCAGGACGCTCCAGAATGCTGCTCGTCCTGTTGTCCAGGATGATCCCGCTTCCTGTTTCGCTCCCGTAGATGGAGTTGGATGGAGGCGTGCCCACCCTGCTGGAGCGCCCTGAGTTAAGGCAGGAGGTCTGATTGGAGCCTGGGATGTTGAGGGGGGAGGGGGCGGCGGGGGAGCGCCGCATCAGGTTGAGGTTTTTCACCGTCTGGAACACGCGCTTCGGGTGCAGTCTAGACAAACGGGAGCAGGAATAAAAAACACGTGTGAACGATGCAGGAGGTCAGATTACAAACGTCCTCGCACCTCTGTTCTTCTACATCTGGATCGTCCATCTGGAGCTCCTTCCTCATGGTGCCCTCGATTTCTGCTGCCAGAGAGTCCTGAGGAGAAAAGGGACACCGTGATTATCTGTTCTCTGTTCCCGCAGCAGGCCGAGCGAGCCCGCCTCTACGGAGAAGAGCGAAGCTGACCATCGGGAACAGGCCGAGGGAATGGAAGCGCCTCGGGGTGCTGAGCGGCAGATTCTTATTCCTCAGGTTCTTCAGCTCCTCCTGAGCCTCGTGAAGCATCTCCATACACTCCACATACTTGTCCTGCAACTCCTGCAGCTGCAGGTGAACACAAGAACAAAATCAAGGAAAAATTTACAAAAAAATTAATAAACAAACTGTTAATAATGTAGCTCTCGTGGTGAAGGCGTTGCGTGAGCTGACTGACCCTAACCCTACCTCAGCAGTGAGCTGTCGCTGCGCGTCCTTGGCTGCTCCCAAATGCTGAGTCAGCTCTTCGTTCTCCACGGCATACTAAACAGCAAGGACGACGCAGCTGTGAACATGCTTTTGTCTCAGCGTTAAATAAAGTTTTTTATACGATGTCAGAGCTGTCGTACAAGCTTGGCCTTCTTTTGCAGATCCACTATCTGAGAGAGGAGGTGTGTGATCTCCTCCTGCTGTCTGGAAGCGTCCTCAGTCTTCCTGGCCAGATCTTCTGCCAGAGAGGAAATCTGGAGGTTGGCACCGCCTGGAACCACGGGGAGGGTCATTATAGAGAGCAAAAACTCTTTAAATATGAAACAAATGGCTGGTGTTAGATAAAAATGAGTCAAATACTCACGCAGTTCTTTGACACAGTCATTGACAAGTTGCTGCTCCTTCTCCTCGTAGGAGATCGTTTCAGTCTCTAAATGATTCGCCTGGAAAAACGATTGGATTGTTATCCAAGGCCTGGAATGTTTCTGAACGTCTGAGATCACAACACGGACTCTGTTTGCACTAATGGTTTGTTTGTGATCGGCTCGCTGCTGCAGAAGCTCGGTCTCTGGGTCTCAGACGTTTATCTGTCAGTGTGATCCTGATAAATCACCTAGTTTAGACGTTCTGCTAAAACTATTGACACGCTTACTGTCAACCACATTAATGAAGCAAACTGACACATGAGATGGAGGAAAGTATTTTTGGATTCTTATGTCATCTGTAAAAAATACAAAGTTTGTATCATCATTTGACCAAAATTAGATATGAAGTCATTTTCTTCTTAAGCTTGAAGTTATTTCATATTCAGCTCAGCAGCTTTAACTAGTGCAGCCCAAAACACTGCTGTGTGTGTGTGTGTGTGTGTGTGTGTGTGTGTGTGTGTACCGCAGATCGCAGAGATTTGTTTTCCTCTTCCAAATCTTTGAGTTTCTTCTGTAAGGAGTCCACAGGGAAACAGGCTGGAGCCGCCACACTGGGTTCACTGGGTCGCACGCTACACACACACACACGCACACGCACACGCACACGCACACACACACACACACACACACACACACACACACACACACACACACACACAGTGATTTTAACCATAAAGTTTTTATATTAACGTGTTTAATGAAGCGGTTTCTTTGCATCCAATCAGAATCCTGCTGAGCAGCAGCGTGGCGTTGGATCTGATCAGGAGGAAAAAGGCAAGAGGAGGGATAAAAATAGGCTCACGGGGTGGAGGTGTTAGACTCCCCTTCGCTCTCCTCAGCAGCGTTGGTGTAAAACTGCAACAGCTCATCTTTCATGGACAGGTCATGACGCAGCTGAGACACCTGGAAGCATGAGAGAAGTGAAGCTGCAGCAGCTGTACCCGAAGGTGCTGAGAACGGCATCATGTCATCCCAAACCTTTTCATCTTTTTCTGATGCTAATTATTTGTGCTATTTAGGAAACCTTAAAGTAACACAGGCTAGTTTACAACATTAAGCTAGAGCTTTAACATAGATCTCAGTGATTGCAGAGTCAGACCAGTTTCATATCTGACACCACTCTGCATCCCTCTGCTGACCCAGATAGGCTTGTGGAGCGGGCAGGTGTTCTATAGGGGGAGCCCTCTGCCTTCTTAATTGGTGTTAGCAGTAATGCTAGTGGTTAGCATTTTCAGTTCCCCTATCGTCAGTAAAAAGCACATGAAGAAGAAAAAGATGAAGTTTGCTTTCTCTGCTGGCATCATGGCGGAGCCTCGGAGTAAAAGTCAGTAAAGTCATTGGAGGTGACGCAAAGAGCTAAAACCAGAGTACGTAAGCTAGTCTGAGGGAGATAAAGGAGACTACAAAATCACAGACTGATGGTGACCTGGCTTTGTTGCTACAGGACTTGTAAGTAATACTTTTTTGTCCAACAGTGCGGATCTTTTTTACTTTGTGGTTTTTTTTTATAGTAACTGGCTCATGTTAGTGTTAGCTCGTGGTTAGCGCTAGCTACAGTAAGCTGCTGCAGAGTTGTAATTCCACTTTTAACCAGTAGAGGGGATAAGTAGGAGACTATCTAGTGTTACTTTACAGTGTAAAAACAGAAGTCCATCTTCCAGCCCAGAGACACGGTGTCGTTCGTACCTCCTCTCGCACGTGCTCGATTTGCTCCTCCAGCACTTCATTCCTGTCACTGAGGGCTTTGTTCTTCTTCAGCAGCGACTGGCCGATGCGAGCCGCTAACTCCAAGTCTCGCTCTTTCTGCACAAGGAGATAAAATCATTTAGGACTTCCAGGAATCTATCACCAAATCCTGCCTTTTTATTAAAATGTTGCTCTTTTCTTTTAAGCCCCAAATGAGTCACTTCCCATCATTTTGGTCTTTATATGCTATTTATCACTTGTCATCCAAGGGCATCAGTGTTTTAGCAGACTGTCATTTAAAATAAAACAAAAACAGAAACACATTAAACATTTCTGGTGTTCTGTAGAAGGCTCACTCACTCACTCACTCACTCACTCACTCACTCACTCACTCAGGTAATGTGTGTTTGAATATGATATCAGAAAGAATTTAACACTATAGAAATGTAAAATATTACACAAATAACACATTTTTTACCAAATATGAAGGAGAAAAAGAACGATTAGGTCTGATGTTACGACAGATAAGTGTTATCTTTATTTAGGGCTAGGAAACTTCATTCATGCCACTCCCTTTAGAACTAATTATGTGATGATTGTATGTAACTTTACATGAAATACTTTTATATGTCATGTATTTTTCATCATATGTACAGATTTTTGTTAGCCTAGTGAACTAGACCAAAGTTTGGTCTAGGAACGCTCCACTGGAACCCCCGCAGCCCCTAGCAGCATTCGGGCTGGCCAATCACAGCTCTCTATAGGGTTTCAAACTGATAGAGAGCTGTGATTGGTCAACAAAGGTGGGCCAATCACAGCGCTCTATCGGATTTGTGGGCCAATCAGGGACCTCTGTCTTATTTTGAATTGACTTGGGCTTTATTAGATTTAGAAGCTTTTATTTAGAAAGTCCTTTATTTTGGAAAAAAGGATGTAATTCTCCTTATTCAACAGCAAAACACATCGTTTATCGACACCCGTTGAGGTGAGTACATCACAATGTTTGTTGTCCAGCAGCATGCAGAGGTCGTGTGAAAAACAACTGTAGCACCCGCCCCACGATGAGAACTGACAATGGAGCCTTGCCAGGCTACATAACATATTTACTTAGTCTGGCTTGTCAGGCTCGTTTTTTGTTGTTTTTTATGCTGGTTTGATTCATCTGTTGTAATTCAACTTCTTATTAGTTTCTAAAACGATCAAATAAAAAATGAACAGAATTCACTCGAACCTCTTCCAGCAGTCGAGTGACAGCATCTATGTCGCTGTAGGTCTTTGTCATCTGGCCCACTCTATCAGCGCACAGCACTGCAGGGAGACAAAAGAAGGCTGTTAATGTCACTTTAAATGAGGAGGACAGTGGACAGATGAGACAAAACATGAACATCACAGCAACAGAAGGACATGGTGGTGGTGGTGTGATGGTCTGGGGCTGCTCTGACTGATGGAAGCATGGATCCTGAACAAGAATGTCTGACATTAAACGGGTTGTCGATGCTGGAAAACCATCCACGAGGGCTGAGTTAAACTACTCAGTAAAAACGAGTAGGACAAACATCTCCTTGGGGATTTGAGACATTCATGACCATCTATTGTCACAAATTAGTTTTCGGGGGTAAAATTATTTTCCACAGCAAAGTAACAAGTGTAAATAAAATCCTAAAAGAGCAAATGCCACAGAGATGATGACACTTGAGACTCATTGAAGTCCCATTAGTCATCACACACTGGTGAAGTTCATCTTTTGCTCATTTCCGTGGGGAGTGGTGAGCTGCAGCTCACAGCTGTGGCTGTGCTCAGGAACTAGTTGGTGGTTTAACCCCAATCCTTAAAGCTGAGTGTCAAGCAGGGAGGCATTGGGTCCCATTGTATAAAAATATAAGGTTTTTGGTATGACCTGACCAGGATTTGAACCCCGATCTCCCAGTCCCACAGAGAAGAATTATGATGTTTCAGAGGACAAACCACTTTTCACCTATAGCCAACTAAAACTTATCTCAGAAGAAAGGACGAAGCTGCTGACTTGCTGCATAATTAGGCTGATTGTGTTCTCAGTATTTACCCTCACTGATGGGTGGAGTGCTTTGAGCCATCTGACTGTTTATTAAGCAACTTTGCATAACACACTACAAACAGGTGTTGCATTTGAAACTGCAGCATGCATGACTGACATGGCCAACACTGAATGCCATCTCCTTTACGCTTGCAGAGTCCATTTATCATGTTGTGTTTCAATCATAAACACATTTTACCCTTATACACGAATACGCACACACCTGATGCCCTTTAATCCACCTGGTGATAAGCTATTACGCACCAGTGGCGTGGGGGAGGGCACATCCCAGGTCTGGTTGTTTACAATCAACCACAGTTCATCCAGCAATATGAAAACTGGCCATTTATATGGAATAAATGCTTAAAAATAGCAGTACCAGATTATACTAATCTATTACAAAGGCTTGAATAAATGATTGGGATTAAGAGAACAGCGCTGAACTGGCTTAAGTCATATTTATGTGATGAAGCCAAGTCGTGGAGTTCCACAGGGCTCAATGTTTGGCCCAGTGCACTTTAATTTCTATATGCCTCCATTTGGTAACATTTTTAAACAAACAGACATAAAAGGTGAACCTTAAACTTTCATTTTGATAGATATTACGGTTAGTGTTAGTTTAAGCTATTCTGACTCATCCCTTTAGTTATTCTGTTAGGCATGACTGCTGGAGGGCACGAGGACGACGTTGATCCCTGCTGCACTTATTCTCTCTATTCTCCATGTTTGTGTTTACAGTTATTGCTGACATTAACTTTGTTTATCTTTCATAGAAACAACTAGCCCTAACCCCTCTTTCCTGTCGTCTCAGAACCCAGGAAGTGGAGGCAAGAAGCTGCAGATTTTAAGACCGGTTCTGATGGAGGTTCTCCCTGTTGTCTATGCTGATGTACTTGCGGAGGATTGTTCTGACACAACATGCAGGGTTTCCTAAATAGAACGACGTTTTCTATGTTATAATCTACTGTATCCGAGTACATTACAGTTACATTGAATTGACTGGGTTTGAATACGTACATATTAAAAAATTAAATGCTGTTTGTTTTTTACAACAGCTCTACAGAAGATTTTTGTTGCAAATGTGTGCTATATACACTAATTTTATTGATTTAACACTAAATTCTGATACAACAGACTCATGTGGCCTACTCTTAGATATTATTCACATTTATTTTCTCAACAACTTTTCCTCCTTGGGTTGGAGGGGAGTTTGGGATGATTGAGCCTGAACATGCGTGTTTTTGGTCTGTGGGGGGAACAAAAAAATGTTGCAGCTGGGATTCAAACCTGCAACCTTGCTATGAGGCAACAGCCACGGCTCCACCATGCTTACTTTACAGATGTAGTCACGTGTGTTTGTTGCTAAATCATAAATGGAACACTGATTGTCACAAGTGGCTTTAAAAATATATATATATATTTTACAATTTTAGAGTGCATCAAACTGCATAAACACCCAATAGGGTGACTTAGGTCAAGAGTCCATGAAGGATGCAAACAGAGTCAGGCAATGCAAAGCACACATTTCCATATCTTTGCAGGCCCAAACCATATATGGACACTGAAACAAGACTCAACATTAGCCTCAGCTGACCGGGTGGTGGCTACCTTTATTTTCCATTTTTATTATCAGTTAATGAGGTTTTACTAGGCTGAACGAGTCCCCGAGCAGCCCCAGGTTTCTGCAGGGTCTGAACCATTTCATCTGTGTAATCATCATGTAATCAGAAGCTGCAGTCATGCATTCAGCTGCACTTAGCGTAGACACAATGGTGCTTTGAGCTGACGTCAGCATGCTGTAAATATTAAAGCTGTAGCATGAAAACTCCTAATGTTTGTCATCAACGAGGTTCAGCATTCTGACGTTTCCCGAGCAGAACTAAAACTCCTGCATTTTCCTCTTGTTTACTTGCTTATGCAGCAATGCAGATGCACTGACAGCTGGGTCCAGTTAAGAAGTGGATTATAACTGAGATGAAACAGCTTTAAAAGCAGATATTGACATGGTGGTTCTGGTACACTGACTTTTATCTGTACTGTTGTTGTAGGAAGCAGGAAACGTTTTCAGATGGCAGCAACTGAAGTAGCTTTTTGCACATCAACAGCTAACCAATCCATCAGTCTAAAACCAACCAGCAAAAGGTAACGACTGTTAAAACCTCCCACAGAAACTCTTAAAGATGAGCTGTGTAAGTGCATCAGCCTGCAGATATGAAAACCTGACTGGAGGGGAGGAAAACCTCAACGCTTCAGGGACAAAGTCCCACAGTAAAAACACGTAAAGAATCGGAACAACGTTCCGACTCTTCTGGGTAGGGAAGCCTCTTTGTCCAGGAAAAAAACAACATGAGGATTAAACACGTCCAACCACAGCATTTGCATTACTTTTGCTTTCTGCACGCCGATGAGATTGTGAACTTGATAGCACAAGGTGCAGTCTGTTTACTTGTTTATTTATGTACACACTTCCCATAAAAAAAAACACATGCTGGTTTAGCTCCACAATAAAACTCCACCCAGGTGTGACTAAGGCTCAGAATGCAGTTGGTTTAACTTATATGCCAAGAGGAAATGCTAATAATTATTTTACTGATAAATACAGGAGATAGACTTAACCCAAACAGGGTGTAAGACTAGAAAGCATGTCTGCAACCCGGGTTATGTGAATAATGTAAATGTAATCTAAGAGCAGGTACTCTAGGACGGACGGACGGACACACACACACACACACACACACACACACACACACACACACACACACACACACACACACACACACACACACACACACACACACACACACACACACACACACACACACACACACACACACACACACACACACACACACACACACACACTTGGTTTCATGTGCCAGGCTAAGCGGAGTCCTAGCTCCGAGCACGTTGTTTTTAATTAGTCTAAAGGACAAAAACAATCCACAAGGCTGTCTATGAGACGAGGTTCATTCATGTCCTCCTAGAAGCTATTTTAAATAATCTGAAAAGAAAAAGTAAGGGCTGCACACTTCAGCACACCGCTCATAAACACACACACACACACACACACACACACACACACACACACACACACACACACACACACACACTGGCCTGAAGTCTACCTTCACACAGAGCTTCATTCCTTTCTCCGGTCTCCTCCTGTTGGAACACCTCATGCCTGGGGAGGAAGAAGATTTCCTCCTCCACCTCTTCCCCCTGCGGTGAACCTTCATGAACAGGTGAACAAACATATTCCTCATCGGGCAGGTTGGAGAACTCCAGTTTGTTCTCAGAGCCGGATGCGTGGAGTGCCATGCTCCCTCCTGGCACTGCAGCTAACCGGTGAACCACAAAGTCCACGGGAGCGAAGCCATGCCTCCAACCTGCTGATCTGATCACATCTGGGAGGGATTCTGGAGAAACGCTCCCAGGAGAAGTATGTCTGAATCCCTCTCCAGCCACTTCATGGCAGCTAAGAGGAAGAGTGCCGTGAGTTTGTATGAGTCGTATAATCAGGAGTGAGTTGGGTTCGTCCCCTGGGCAGGTTGGTGAGACTACCAGACAGCTGGACTCCTCCTCTTTTCCCTGCCTGACTGGTCAGTCCATGGCCTATTCCACTCCCCCCATACACAGAGGGTAGACAGACCCATCCAGACTTAGAGAATGAAGCTAAAACAGCTTCTGGGAACAGACTAGAGGATTTAATGAGCATCATTTGATCCTTAAATCTGTAATCTGGTCAAAACATCGACATCGTCCTTATTCTCTCAGCTGAGACGAACAGCAAGGTGGTACAGTCCTGCTCAGCCTCTATGGTGACACAACAGGAACAGACAGGCACCTGCTCCCAGGGCGTGGCCACCCAAGCACACCTTCACAGGTGAATGTTTTAACCAGCACAGGTGTATGAGTGGTGGCAAGGATGCATTCTTTTCTAGGTTTATTCCAGATATCACATTTTAGAGACAAAGGAATACTTTTCTTTGTTTTTGGCTCAGATCGTCGTATCACAGACGACAGCCACACACCCCACCCCCGGTCCTGGTTCTTCCAGTTTTCTCTTGTTTCTAGAGGTCTCTGCCCCTCCCTCTGTGCATGCTCAGGAGGACATTGAAACGTTAAGTCTCTGACAGGATTAATAAACAACATTTAATCTAACATTAGGAGAGAATAAAGCCATAGCTAAGACCTTCTGAAGGAGGGAAAAGATGATGAATGAATGAAATTTACAGCAGTCCATGCAAACCCTTTT